AGTGTTGGGCAAGTTTATACCCTGTTTTACCTGTCTAGTGTTTGTTTTAAATTTTGAACAAAGCTACTCAAGGGCTATCTGCACTAGCAGTCCCTAATTTAGGAGTGAACGACTAGAGGGAAGGCAGCTATTCAATATCACCCACCACCAACTCTTTACTAACAAATCATGGGATTGACCATCACATTATAACACACCCAAGGTTGAAAATACAAGTATGTTCATGGATGGGATTCCAACCCGAGACCCTTAGATTGTGGGTCAAGTGTCCAAACCACTAGGACATGCCAGGCCTACCTATCTAGTGTTCTACAGATTTATATCCTGTTTTACATATGTAGTGTTCAGCAACATTATGTGTGTATATAATTAATGGTTATCTTATCCTAACTATCTAGTACTGAGTTGGTTTATATCCTATCATACCTATCTTGAGTCGAGTAAGTTTATATTCTGTCACACCTATCTTGAGTCGAGTAAGTTTATATTCTGTCACACATATCTCAAGTCGAGTAGGTCTATATTCTGTCACACATATCTCGAGTCGAGTAAGTTTATATTCTGTAACACATATCTCGAGTCGAGTAAGTTTATATTCTGTAACACATATCTTGAGTCGAGTAAGTTTATATTCTGTCACACTATCTCGAGTCGAGTAAGTTTATATTCTGTCACACATATCTCGAGTCGAGTAAGTTTATATTCTGTCACACCTATCTCGAGACGAGTAAGTTTATATTCTGTCACACCTATCTCGAGTCGAGTAAGTTTATATTCTGTCACACCTATCTTGAGTCAAGTAAGTTTATATTCTGTCACACCTATCTTGAGTCGAGTAGGTTTATATTCTGTCACACCTACCTTGAGTCGAGTAGGTTTATATTCTTCTGTCACACCTATCTTGAGTCGAGTAGGTTTATATTCTGTCATACCTATCTTGAGTCGAGTACGTTTATATTATGTCATACCAAAACAGTACTGAGAAGGTTTATAACATGTCAGCATATTTAGTTTTGAGCACTTTTATATCCTCCTGCATGTATCAAAGGCTGTAAACCAAAGTTCACTAACCTGTTGAGCAAACTGGTCCTCGTAAGCTGGTCGTAACAAACCTTGGCCTGGATACAACATTTCTCCTCTAGGGGGTGCAAACCCTGCACGTGGAGGTGGATAAACTGAAGGTGGCAAGAGTGGATGTGGGCCAGATGATGGGTGAGCTTGATCATTATGATGTGGCCCTCCAAAGATTGCGGCTGCTGCTGCGGCTGCTGCAGAAATGGCATCTTGTGGGTGGAGATGCAAATGCGTGTGAGCATGTGCATGAGTGTGGGCATGGGTATGGGCATGATTCTGTAGATCCGGTGTTATCCCTGCCATCTGAAGCCGGACAAGAGGATCTGTGGCCAAAGCCAAACGTTCACCGTGAAGTCGCTCTGCAGTCAAACGGTCAAGATTTGGATGTCCTCCTTCAGACATAGTGGTGGGGATACCCAGTCGCTCGAGACGTTCTCGATCATACGAAGCATAGACATTGAATGGAGAGTCATGAAGACCAGTATTTGAAGTACTTGGAATCATTCCAGACATTCCAGCTCCAGAGACCACAGGTCCGTAACGACGCTGGAATTCTAGCCAATGAGGGTCAAAAGCATTTGGCTGTAGTCGTGCCTTCATTTCTATTTCAGCTTTTAATTTCTCTTGAAAGTCACGATCTCTTTTTTCTCTTTCCAACTCCATTTCAAGCCTAAAAGGATAAAAAAACTCTTAACATTTTAAATTCATGTATATAAACTCAAAAATTGTAAAAAAAATTAATTTCCTGCTTCTATTGTTGAGAACCATATTAGTATGATCATATACACATATGTAAATGAAATTGATGAGTAGATATTATTAATGTCGGTTTAAGTTACAAGAAAACAAAACTTATGTGAAGATCTACTGCCCTACATCTTATCAAGTCAGCTAAGTTAGATAGGAAATATCAATGTTTTGGAGTAAAGATGAAACTTTTCTAATTATTACAAATATAATATAATTACATGGATATTATTCCAGACACACAAACTGTCAAATATAAATCGTTACTATGTATCAGCACACATTCTGACGCGTTTCGTATCAGTATCATAAAAAACAGCCACTATACAAAAGTATTTAAAATAATTATTCACAAATGTTCTAAAAACGTATCAACCTTTCACGAGCAGAAGCACCATACATTCCTGCCGATATTTGGTACTGCAATAACGGGTCCATGCTTGGATGTGGTACTCCAATAGGCACTGATGCGGTAGTGATTGGAGTGAACTGGCCGGCTGCTGTGGTCCGAACATAACCGGGGGAGTACATAGCATGTGGGTGAGCATATTCACTGAGCTGACGGAGAGCTGGCATATCCGAGTAGCCTCGGGAAATCGTACTTTCAACACTTGCTTGCTGGTGAGCTTCTGCGCGGTGAGAGTTTAAAGTTGACTTTTCTCCACAATGACTCTTTTCTGCAGACTTCTAGCATGATGGAAAGAGAAAAAAAAGTAATTAGTTACCGAGTGGTTTGCCAGTTAACTTACCAAACTATCTGGTACACGCGTGTTAAGACATCCTGATGTGTATGTCAGAACTAAAGAAGTTTGGATAGTTTTAGCTCAGTCTAGTTTCTAAAACTTTGACAGAAACTGCATACTTGGTTTTCCATTTTCTTTTGTATTTAGTCACGAAACGAACAGATGATTCACACTGTTATAGCGACACCATTTCAAAAAAACCTTTTCCATTGGTAAACGTGTTAGAAACTTAATGAATTTATCACTACAGTTTCATCTAGATCATAAACTAGAAATCTGTAAGTTAAACAGTTTGATTACATTTTGTCCCTCCTGAACAGCTAATATACTCACTGCTTTATCCCTGCTTTCCTCTTTCTCCTTTTCTGCAGCTTTTCTTGCTAACTCTTCACGTTTCCTAGCTAGCTTTGAGTCTGGTACAGGTTTAAAAACAAGGTCTGTACGTGCACAAGAGTTGAACTCTACTCCGTGTGTGTGCCTTCGTAAAAATCTGGCATGAAAAATTCAAAATGTTTCGTTACTAGCCCAATTTAAAATACTAAGTTATACCTAAAATTATAGGTGGTAATTTTTTTTCTAATTTAATAAGAGATAGGGCTTCAAAAATACAGTCTAAAATGTTAAATTTGATGATTTTCTTTGGTGAAAAAATTAACAGTTAATTATTTAATCTGTTCCAATGAGAGATATTTAAAAACAATTTACAAAAATACCATGATTCTTATGATGCCAGTACAGGACATCTGTTGAATGCATTTAAAGTTGACCAGAATGCAAATTATGAGCATACTGTGCTTGGTTCTGCTCACTGGAAAGATCCAGGACCCTTTAATCATATTCTCAAATAATATTTGTATAACCAAGTAGTAGAACAGGTAACTGCTACATTCAACACTTCAACCCGAAAAATTCATTTCATTTCCTTACTAAGTAAGTAAGCAATCATGATATATAAAAAAAATCTAATCAGGATTTGAGCACAGATAATTCCCAGCCTTGGGAATTATCTGGGTTTAGGTCTCAGTGGGTTGGGAATTATTTGGGTTCAGGTCTCAGTGGGTTGGGAATTATCTGGGTTTAGGTCTCAATGGGTTGGGAATTATTTGGGTTCAGGTCTCAGTGGGCTGGGAATTATCTGGGTTTGAATCTCAATAGGGAATTATCTGGGTTTAGGTCTCAATGGGTCTAGGTTTGGGTCTCAAAAGGCTGGGAATTATATGGGTTTGGGTCTCAATAGGCTGGGAATTATCTGAGTTGGGGTCTCAATGGGTTGGGAATTATTTGGGTTTGGGTCCCAGTGGGTTGGGAATTATTTGGGTTCAGGTCTCAGTGGGTTATTTGGGTCTCAATAGGCTGGGAATTATTTGGGTTCGGGTCTCAATGGGCTGGGAATTAGGGTCTCAATAGGCTGGGAATTATCTGGGTTTGGGTCTCAATAGGCTGGGAATTATCTGGGTTTGGGTCTCAATAGGCTGGGAATTATCTGGGTATTTTTCTTTCTTATTAATGCACTGATTATAGTCTCAATAGGCTGGGAATTATCTGGGTTTGGGTCTCAATAGGCTGGGAATTATCTGGGTTTGGGTCTCAATAGGCTGGGAATTATTTGGGTTCGGGTCTCAATGGGCTGGGAATTATCTAGGTTCTCTTCATTTCGAGGATTACTGAATCCTTATCAAGTGAACAACCACTTTAACCAGGAATTGAATCCATCTTTACCAACTTTATAATTATAATATAATAAATTAAATGGATTTAACAAAATACACCTGCATCAAACAGAAAATAAATGCCAAGAGCAACACTTAAGACTTTTAGCACTTACAATCGAAACCCATTTTAAACTACTCAACATGAATATTTAATTATCTGAAATAACTGTAGCTTTAAAAACAATTATAAATGGTTTTTATGTCATTAAAAGACAAGTTTCTTCATAGATATTTTTACAAATGCCTCTATTATGTAAGCTTATTTATGGTTGTCATTTTTAGTATACTTTTATTATTATTATTATGGTTTCAGTATTGTCGAAATGAATTTCTTAATCCTTCATATTTCACTTTTGTTGCAAATTTCCATGGTAATGATGCACTGTTTATCAAACAAAACACAGAGGGTTTTTTTTTTCTTTGTAATATCTCGCAAGCTAATGCATCAAACTCCTGTTCATAATTTTATATCTAAATTTTAGAGAGGAAATATTACAAACTTACATTGCTGACTCACTGCGGTGGCATTCAGCATCTTGTCCTTTGTTTCCAGAACTTGACTCATGCAATGGGAAACGTCCCAATGGTTCGCTTTTAAGGACTTCTGGCAACACGTTTTTGTTTTTGGCTTCTTTAGGAGGAGAGGATTCTATCGAATTACTTTTTGTGGAGGATGTACTGGATGCTGAAACAGAAGTGGAGGAGACTGTTGGTGCTAGAGGTGTATGAGAAGCAGACAATGATGGCTTTCCAGGAAATGAAGTAGTGATTATGGGTGGAGGAGAGGATCTAATTCCTGTTGAGACACAGTTACTAGATGAAGGTGTTTGTACTTTGGAAGGAGTTCTTTCTGACCCCCTATGATTTGGAATTCCAGACATAGGAGATGAAGCTGGAGAAACCCTCACTTTTGGTGATGACTGCTGATGGTTTGGGGATAATGGAGGGTAGGGAAGATGAGGTAGGGGCATTCCAGAAGGATGCAAGTGGGGTGAGAAGTAAGGTCGATAAGAATAACTGGGAGGCACAAGAGCTTCTTGACAAAGATGCAATGAAGACGGTGATGAATTTGATGGTTGCATGCCAGAAGGAATTGGTTTGGTGACTGATGTTGTGGTTGTTACAATTGCTGTAGCAGAGGTGAAAGTTGTAGTAACAGTTGAAGCTGTAGATGTGATCACAGCTGACATTGACAGTGATAGTGCTGGTGATGAAGTCTGCCCTGTGCTCACTGTGGATTTTACTACTGACCCATCTACAGGTATAGGGGTTGAAAGCAGCTGATGAGGTTTAGATTCTGTAGCAAAAGCTACAGTAGATGAATGTTCCAGTGTCAAAGAGGTTATCCCTGAAGCTTCTGATACTTGTGATTTACTATATAAAAACAAAGACTCAGGAGGAACTTCTTGATGATCAAGCGGCTCTTTTTTGATCTCTTGAGGCTTTAGAGGTGGTGTGCGAGTACAGGTGTCCCGACTTGAAGGTGTTAATTGATCCAAAACCTCATTTACTCTTGGTAACTGGCTTTTCAGGGGCACATGTGAATCTATGGGTAAACCAGGATGAAAGATTGGTATTTTTAGTGGAGAAGGAGACTGTTTGGTATTTTCTTGAATTGGTGAAACCTGCTGTGGTCTATCTGAAATTACTTCTTCTTTGACTTTGATCAGTGGTGACAAAGATGCTGATGGCAACAAAATGGGAGGTGGATAAGAGGCCACAACAGTATCAACAAAGGAGTTACAGACTTGCTGTTGTAAAGGAGTATTTTCACTTTCACTGGCCAGTGGAAGTGGTTCAACTTTAATCTTAGGAGACAACATAACTCTTTCTGGTTCCTCCCACATTGAAGAGGTATCTTGATTTTGATTCTCAGTTATTTCAGAAATCTTTTGGGCATCTTCTTGAACTTCTACTTTAACTGTTGCACTGCAGTGAAATAAAAGAAGAAAGCGTAATAAATCCAAAGGATGATTTTTTTTTTCTTCGACTTAATTCCAGCGTGAACTGGAAGCCAGTTGTAATTTCTAAAACAAGATCACAAATTTCAGAAAAATAATTGTTTCGGTGTCTGATTTTTATGCTTTTTAAGAGCACAACAGTTGTACAATTATAGTTAAAATTTTTAGGCCTTAATAAACCTACATTCTACAAGAGTTACGAATATTAAATGGTTGGTATATGGAAAACAAAAAATGTCATACAGGAGAATCATAAGTAAAACCTCCTTTAACTTGAAACTAAAATACTATGGGTTTTTCAGGAAAACCAGTGTGACAACTGAATCAGTACTTGACCTCATTACTACCTATTATTGAAAGTTAAATTCAGTAAAAACAGGGGTCAGCGAGTATCAGATTTGTTATTTAAAAATATTTCCATGTTAAAATACATGTTAAAATACTACACTAAATACAAAGTTTTGAAAAGCAAATAGTTTTTATTATTTATTCTCAAAAAAAAAAACACAAACATTTCCCAAACTTCCTTTCAGATGACAAATCTGGAACTACTACAAACAATGTAGTACACCATTAACTGTGGTGCTTTAACAGCATGAGAAGTGTGTGTGTGTGTGTGTGTGTGTGTGTGAGAGGAGGTGGGTCTGGAACCCACCACTTTTCAATATGTTCCAGTAAAATGCATCAAAATTTAATCTGGAACACAAGAGTTTCCACGGCCCTAAGGTGAACTCTGTACCCTGGCTGTAATAGGTGCACCTGAGGTGTACATTCCCTCACTTCACTCAGTCAAATAAACCTTGCCCCCCCCCCCACTTTTAATTAGCCTACTACACCTCTGTACTTATAACAAAGTGAGAATAAAGCCAGTCACACACAAGAGCAGACAATGGTAAAGCAAATGGCTTGCAACTGTATTTTCTCTTATCTTGGTCATCATGTTCAAACTGACTTGTAATTTAAATTATTATAATAGTTTATTTTTTGCAACAGCTGTAGATAAGTAGAATTTTGTTTATTTGTTGCACATCAGTTCACTTCCAACACACTAGTGTGCTGTGGCACTCCCTCTGGAAAATACTGGACAATAAAAACTCAACTGAAGGAACATGTTTATAATGCTCTTACGGTATATAAATCAGCAAGTAAAACCTTACGATTATCTGTTGCTTGTGTAACTTTGAAGACTTAATTACATCAAAACCTTACATGAACAACAAACACACAGAGCTAAAGATATAATTTTTTTTTTAAATAACTTTCTTGGGATTCATAATGAAAAGAATATTGAGTGATTTTTAAACAAGTTCATATATTTTTAGTGTCCCATCTCATTCTAGTTAAAAATTCTAAGAAATGGCTAAACTCACTAAAGGAGTAAGTCAACATTTTAGCCAAATGACCATATCGCACTGAAGGTCATTTGGCTAAAACAAAACACCAAACATCATTCTGTTATTTTCAATAACTTTAACAGTTTCATTGTATTTCTATCAGAACTACAATAACAGTATACATTTGAAGAAAAAAAAAAATAGGATACAAACCTTTCTTCTTGTTCTATCTTCATGTTCTCAGAGAACGGCTGAATTACATTATAGACTGGAGAAGGAGGAGAACTGAATAGCTCACCGTCACCTTCCTCATTATCTCCTTCATTTCCATTTTCTTCATTGCACACACTGCTGCTATCTGTACTTAACGATTCAGTGGGACTAAACGGCCTCTCTATGGTGGATTTCTTCTTCTTGGGAGTTCTGGCTTCCTCCGTTTCAGCCTGGAGAGTTGTGTTGTTGTTGTCTCTTAACCTTTTCCTACTCTTACACAGGTCTTCTTCTGCCAGTTCCTTGATTAACAACAGAAAAAATATTCTAAAATCAAAATTAAAAATTATATTTAATCTAAACAGCCTTGTGTTTTTGTTATAAACATGCAATATCTTGACCTTCATTGGAGAAACCAATAGCAGGTCTCACTTAGTAACAATATGAGTTAAGGGTGTACGGCAGAAAGTAATTGCTCATGAAGTAGGGTAAGTGAGCTGATCTCTAATTAAACAAAACACACCCCCTACTGTAATTTCCATGAACTATAAAAAACATTGTAACAAAGCTATAAAGTTATAAATAAAGCTATAAATATGAGTTAAAGTTGTACGGCAGAAAGTAATTGCTCATGAAGTAGGGTAAGTGAACTGATCTCTAATTAAACAAAACACACCCCCTACTGTAATTTCCATGAACTATAAAAAACATTGTAACAAAGCTATAAAGTTATAAATAAAGCTATAAATATGAGTTAAGGGTGTACAGCAGAAAGTAATTGCTCATGAAGTAGGGTAAGTGAGCTGATCTCTAATTAAACAAAACACACCCCCTACTGTTATAACACATTTTCATCTCATCATTTAATTTATGTTGTGCATATATTGTTGTATGTTTA